TACTTCAGAATCACTCTCACTCATACACAAATATGTTTGTGTTATAGTTAGCATAAGAAGCATGCTGTTTCCCTTGCAGATAGATTACATCTCACACACCACTGTGTAATTTTGGAAAAAAAAAAAAAAAAGAAACTTCAGATTATAATTAGTTTCTTAGATTTCTACCACTCATGACCTGATATTTATGCAAATTTGAGCATAAATGACTAAATGTGAATTGTTCACACTTACATGTCACTATTGTATATTTTGTATTAATAAACGTGGTTATTTAATTTCAAATGTTAAACATGTATTTATATATTTCGTTAAAAAGCTCCCCCACGCCCTTATCTTGAAGAAGATGACTGTGTGGTTTGTATGAAGTTATTTATTAGACCAAGTGATTTTGTTCTATGTGAATAATAATATAATGTTGAGACTCAGATTGAAATTTTCATCTGGTTTTCAAGAACAGGTTGGACCAGAACGCAGACATTTTAGGACATGAAAAGTCTCAGGTTGAGACATATTTTAATACTCAATTATCTAGTCGGCAACATGAAGGAAAACATAAAAATAAATATGTATAAAAGGGAAAAGTTTCTCAGTTCAAAAGTAAATTAAATGCTCTGAATCTTCCAGAGGAAAAAAAATAACGAGAGTTGTTTTTCTAAATAAATGCATGACATTTCTGAAATAATTTAATAGTTTAATGTAGATTATGGGCCAATATGATCCATAAACAAAATAAAAAATCATAGGAGTGTATTGCTGTAAAGATCAGAGGTGAGAGGCTCTTAAAAGAGCCTTTGTGGGTGTGCGCTCCAGCAGCGTTGACGGGCAGCAGCTCTACTTGGCCTTGGCGGCCTTCTCGGTCTTCTTGGGCAGCAGCACCGCCTGGATGTTGGGCAGCACTCCACCCTGAGCGATGGTGACTCCACCCAGCAGCTTGTTGAGCTCCTCGTCGTTGCGGACGGCCAGCTGCAGGTGACGGGGGATGATGCGGGTCTTCTTGTTGTCGCGGGCAGCGTTTCCAGCCAGCTCCAGGATCTCAGCGGTCAGATACTCCAGGACGGCCGCCAGGTAGACGGGGGCTCCGGCACCAACACGCTCCGCATAGTTGCCTTTGCGCAGCAGCCTGTGGACGCGGCCCACGGGGAACTGCAGTCCTGCGCGGGAGGAGCGAGTCTTGGCCTTGGCTCTGGTCTTTCCTCCGGTTTTGCCTCGTCCGCTCATTGTGAAGCTTCTCTCTGGAGATGAAACTCGAGAAAAATGTCGAGCAGCGGATGAAACCTGGTCTTATATGAGAGCAGAGAGAGCGGGAGTCAATGAAACAACCAACCAGAAAAGCTTCCAGCAGAGCGGGACACTGGTGAGTTTGAGCGGACTTTGTCAAGCGGGCTTCCTCCAATGAGCAGCGAGGACTGAGCCGGAGGTCGGAGCTCTGTAGGCGGAGCTGAGCTCCAGGAGGAGCCGCTCACCAATCAGGAGCCCCACATGTCCAGCAGCGTCTCCTCCTCCCAGCTGCTCCCACACTTTAACAGCGGCGGCTCTCCGCTCCCTCCGACATATTTGTCCTGTGTTTCAGTAGAGAAAGCAGCAGACATGGCGAGAACCAAGCAGACCGCCCGTAAATCTACCGGAGGCAAAGCTCCCAGGAAGCAGCTGGCCACCAAGGCGGCCCGGAAGAGCGCCCCGGCTACCGGCGGCGTCAAGAAGCCTCACCGCTACAGGCCCGGTACCGTGGCTCTGCGGGAGATCCGTCGCTACCAGAAGTCCACGGAGCTGCTGATCCGCAAGCTGCCCTTCCAGCGCCTGGTCCGAGAGATCGCTCAGGACTTCAAGACCGACCTGCGCTTCCAGAGCTCCGCCGTCATGGCTCTGCAGGAGGCCAGCGAGGCCTACCTGGTGGGTCTGTTCGAGGACACCAACCTGTGCGCCATCCACGCCAAGAGGGTCACCATCATGCCCAAAGACATCCAGCTGGCCCGCCGCATCCGCGGAGAGAGAGCTTAAGCTGCTGACCACACACACACACACACAGCAGGCCTCAAGCCACAAAGGCTCTTTTCAGAGCCACACACACACACAATTTCTCAAGAGCTTTTTCCTTTCACACTTTCAGACCAAAAATGTTTGGAAACACGATGAATGAAACTAGTAAATGAAAATCGAAAAACGTTAAAAACAACAACAAAAAAACCCTCAGAAAATAAGAGGAGATATTAGTGTCTTACATTAAACATCTGGCCAATGTTTTCAAAAGATGTTTATAGAAAAACTCTTTCATGACATCTGTACAGTGAATTAGATCATAAGAACTACATTTCCATTTAGACAAACACAGAGGTGAGATTCATCAGATTCTTCATGAAAATTTTGATTAAAAATAAATTCTTGGTACTGTCCAAAATGACATTATTTCATTCTTGTGAGGTATTTCCCCCCCAGTTAAAAAATATTGGCCTAATCTAAACCATCTTGTATGTTGGATCTGATCTCAGTCCTATAAAGAAATGTTCCCTTTGATTTCTGCCTCCATTGCAGACACAAATCTAGTGCTTTTATAGTAACTGTAATTAAACCTAGATTTAGAAATATTCTCTCAATAGGATTTAATAAATTAATAAAGAAATCTTCATTTCTTATCTAAAATCCTTGAGAGAGTACTTGTCTTGTTAGATCTCAGTGCTTCTCTGGACAGTCGATCAGAATAATCTTACAAATATCTAAACATGCTGCAGGAATCAAAAGAAAAACCACTGGGCTTTATTTATGTTATAGACCTCCTACCTCATTAGTCCTTTATTTTTTCCAGATCGTATTATATCATCACACAGGCTATCATTCATAATCGTGTGATGCATCTATTAATATATATCTAATATTCTGACACTAAGGCATCTTAGTTTATAATCTTTCTTACGGCCTCTAGCCACATGATGTTATATAATCCAATCTACTAACTTTATCATATTTCAATGAACGTTTCAGAGCTTCAAAAGCAGCAATGCTTTTTCTTTCCTGATGTTGGTCGGTAGGTGGCGCCAAAGGGAAGACCCAGCCCCAGCCAGCTGAGGTAAACTCTCTGTCTTCTAACACGTCCGGAGGACTGCTACAAACCCCGCTGAACCAGCTGTAGATTCATTACTGCAGAGAATCACCGTAGTGTCATAATGAGCGGACGAGGCAAAGGAGGAAAAGGCCTGGGCAAAGGAGGCGCCAAGCGCCACCGTAAAGTCCTCCGTGATAACATCCAGGGAATCACCAAGCCGGCCATCCGCCGTCTGGCTCGCCGCGGCGGAGTCAAGCGAATCTCCGGCCTCATCTACGAGGAGACCCGCGGTGTGTTGAAGGTGTTCCTGGAGAACGTGATCCGTGACGCCGTTACGTACACCGAGCACGCCAAGAGGAAGACCGTCACCGCCATGGATGTGGTGTACGCTCTGAAGAGGCAGGGCCGCACTCTGTACGGCTTCGGAGGTTAAATTCAGCCCGTTGATCACAGCGAACCAAAGGCCCTTTTCAGGGCCAACAACTGCTGCTTATGGGCCAAAGGGACTTGTTCAGATGTGACTAAAGTCTTGCGCTATTTTCAGTTTAAGTTGGAATGAAGCCAACCATGTTGGCTGAAAACTAGGCAGTTTTATTTCATATAACGTCAGGTATAAAAAGTATATATTTAAATAGTTAATATACATACAGCACAATTTGGCAGTGAAAATCACCTCGTGTGGGGAGACCAGTTTTAAGTAGCGATTTCTTTGAACATTTGTTAAAAGAACATTATACTTTCTTGCCGAACCTCTTGGCATGTTTTAGATTTTCCCCTGGTTTCAGATAAAGCCAGCCAATAAAAAGCCTCTAATCAGCTATCAAATGCGCTGATGAATCTAAAACTTGTAGAGCAGTGTGCCTTGAGGACCCAGACTGAGAATCACTGCCGCATGTTTTATATTTATTACACTACCGTTTTCATATGAAACATGTTTGTTTCATTAACTCGCCAGTTAGTTGGTTTCAATTAAAATTACTGGTTAAGAATAAAGAAATGCTGAGAGAAATGCATGTAAAGGTGTAGGAAACACTCTGCTCTTTAGTGTTGTAGTTCTGCTGTGTTTTATTTATCTCTGTAAAACCCTCATACATTATATAAGAGGTCTGAACGTGAAAATGTTCAGTTCTTCGTCCCGCCGTTTTCGTTCTTCAGTTAAATCAGGCGCAACATTTGAAACTAATCATCTTCCTGTCGATCTCAGCCCCGCCCTGCTTGCTGGCTCAGCCAATCACAGTCAGGCGGCGGTACTGACGGATTTCCTTTCGCTCTGTATAAGAGCAGCTTCCCTCCGCTGCTGTTCACTCTTTGCTGTGACCTCAGAGAGAAAACATGCCCGAACCCGCCAAGTCTGCGCCCAAGAAGGGCTCCAAGAAAGCGGTCACCAAAACCGCCGGCAAAGGAGGCAAGAAGAAGAGAAGGACCAGGAAGGAGAGCTACGCCATCTACGTGTACAAGGTGCTCAAGCAGGTCCACCCCGACACCGGCATCTCCTCCAAGGCCATGAGCATCATGAACTCGTTCGTCAACGACATCTTTGAGCGCATCGCCTCCGAGGCTTCCCGTCTGGCTCACTACAACAAACGCTCCACCATCAGCTCCAGGGAGATCCAGACCGCCGTGCGCCTCCTGCTGCCCGGTGAGCTGGCCAAGCACGCCGTGTCCGAGGGAACCAAGGCGGTCACCAAGTACACCAGCTCCAAGTAAACCTGCTGCTGCTGCTGCTGCTGCTGCTTGGACACAACAACACAACGGCTCTTTTAAGAGCCACACACCAACACTCAAGGGCTACACTCCTGTTACCTCAATGTGTCTGGTTTTCAAAACTAAAGATTTGGTTTTTAGGTGTGATGAAGCAACAAGTTAACTTGTAATGTGGGAAAACTGAAATGTTTCACTTATGTTTTATAAATCTTTCCGTTGTGGCCAAATTATGACACCAACGGTACATGAGAACAGGATTTAATTTCCATGCATTTATTTATTTTTTTATTTCAATATCATTAAAGAAAATGCTCTGAAAGCAGAGCGGCTCAATGCATAATGACCAGTTTGCTCCAGTTCTACTTTTTAGATTTTATCTAATGAACTTTTTTTTTTTTACATTTCTGGTTTTAAAGAGATCTTGCTAAAATCTCAAATCATCCAAAAAATGTAAAACGTTTTGCCTGATCAGTCCTTTAGTTGTATCTTTTGACGATTCCAAACAGAAATTGAATGTAAATTTTAATTTATGTACAATATTTAAAATAAATTCCTGACTCATGTCTGCTATACAGAACTCAAAAGCAGGTTGTAAAAATATTTGCAGCATAAATGGTGACTATATTGAAACTTCCTTCCTGGAGCATTTCTGTTCTGGTTTAGCTGAAGGCTTTTATTTTGGCAGTCGTCCTGATCTTTGTGTATAAAGTTGTGTATCTATTGGTTACCAATAGATGCATATGATCTGCAACACACAAATCATCTCATCTGAAAGCTGTATAAAGGTGGATTTTATTCAAATAAAATTTGTTTAAACTACACATTTTGACCAAACAGTTTCTTCATTTATCAAATTATATTAATTATTTATGCTGGAATAAACTGAAGTATTATAACAATACAAATGACATCAAAATAATGATTTCCCATTGCTTTTGATTCGTATGTTCTCAAAGTGGGTCATTTTATTTATTTAGCACATTTTCAGCAACAAGGCAACTCAAAGCTCTACATAAGTTAGAGGAAATAAAAACAAAACAACAAAAGAAAAGCAAGAGAAAAACAAAAAGTACTTTTAATTTATACACTAACAGGAGTTTCTGTGAATAAAGTAATGGAGAATAAAAGTAAAAGTCATTTATAAACCAGTAGGAGTTTCTCTTCCGTTCCTTCTCGGTTTGTTGACTGTGCTGTACAAGGCAGCTGGATCCTCCACAGTGTCCTGCTTTTCAGACTCGGTTCTGCAGGAATTGTTTTTGTGTTAATAGAGATATTACACAGAATATGAAAATATCAGTTCAGATTTTTTTTTACTTAAAGAACGCCTCACCTTGCATCAGTTCTGGTTCTACCACAGTTAACAGAGCTATACTCCACCATCTCTTCTTCCTTCCTCTTCTTCTTGTGTCTCTTGGACCGAGTTGGGTTAATGTTGGAGTAAAGAGGCTCTTCTTGTTTTGTTGCTAACTCGACAAAAGAGTAGGCAACATGTTCCTCTTCTGGGTTCACCTGTGGACACCAGTCACATTAACCAGTAGGGGGCGCTCTGAGAGAGCTTTAGGGTAATGTTACTCATGCAGACAATAAATGCAGCAGAACCCAATTAGAAACTAAAAGGAAAAGAGTGACTGAATATTTACTTATATTTTATCATAAAGCAGAAAGTAACCAAATGTCTCTTGAAGATCCAATGGATTTTAAGTAGCAGCTTGAGAAAAAAGTCCGACGATCACACAGAGCTTTACAGACTTCAGCACATCAGATCAGAGTTTATAACCTTAATAATAATTAAGGTTATTATTAAGTTAAGGGGAAAGTGATTTTTCCCCTTAACTACTTGGTACATAGTAACATTGCCAATGAAGAATTCAATTAATTAAGAAAAACGTTGAAAGTTCAGACATAGGTCATTTTCTAACCTGTTCTCTGGGAACTTGTCCTGCTCCAGGTTTGGACTGCTGCTTCCACACTTTGGTTTTTCTGCTGGAAAGAAATTATTTCAGAAGGTGATGAGGAGGAGCTAAACAAAATCAAGACTTTGTAAAAACAAAGAAACTCTTCAAAGTAACAGAACTGCTCACAAAATCCACAAAAAGAGGCCGATGAGTGTGAGAATCAGGAAAACAGCAGGAACTGCAGCAGCAGCAGCAGCGACTTGGTTCCTTGGTGCTGAACAGATCACAGTGACAGTCAGTGTGCAGTATGGAGCAATTATACCTATTAATTACTATTATTAAAGGCAGTTTTTATCCTCCATATTGATCCACTATAAAGAATTATTTCTCTTCAGAAAAACACTCATCAGTATCTCCAGCGTCTTAACATGATGTTTATCTTCAATGGTTTCACGTCTCCAGTTTGTTCTGCTGCTTATCAACCTGTTTTTTCCTCCCTGCCTGGTTGTCTGCTGAACTTTCTCATCGTTCTAGTCGGTTCTGATTATTCTGATTCCAGTGGATCCAGTGGACCTGGATCGGTTCTGACTTTTTATCCTTGACTCTTAGATTGATTTGGGATCTCTTGCAAGGAGATGGTATTGATGTGAATGACCATTGCTCTCTCTTTGGCGGCTAGTGGTTTTGAGCTTCTGGACCCCTGACTCTTGAGAAAGGGATTTGGATTTTGATAAATGATTCGGTAGCCAGCTGACCAATGTTGCTACCAGTGTTTTCCCTCTTTCCTGGTCACTCTTCCTTCAGATTTATTGTAACAAGGTCTTGGCTGACTGGATGTTGTCCTTCAGATAACCCTAAGAAGATTAAAGTTTAATATTCTGTGGAAGATGATTTAACTATGATTGAATGTTATCTCATTTCTTTGATATGTTGTTACCATAGGATAGAGGGACAGTAGATTGTGTTGTTGTTCTTTTGAAGAAATGAGAAATTTCTCCCTCTCTAGAGATCCTGAATAAAACAGTCAAGGACTGTAAGGCACCTAATTTGTGATTAGCTATCTGGCTTTTGGAACTAAAGGTTATGGGCCTGAAGTTTCTGACCTAAAAGATCAGCTTGTTTTTTTCATCCCCCCCCCCCCAAAAAAAAAACAAAAACAAAAAAACTTTAGCCTCACTCTTTAACAATTTGAGTTTCATCTCTGAACATTTTAGTACATTTTAAATCCTCTTCCCTGTTTTTGCATCTTCTGTTGAAGCATGATATATAGATCCAACTGAACTACATTTGACATATAATGTTGTACTTAAGTGGCACAGTAGTGCTCTTTATCAACCCAGGGTTACAAACTTTAAGTATCTGCTCTCTGAAAACAGGCGGAGCTGCAAAAATGGGCCAATCACAGCCAAGAGGCAGCAGTGTAACGGATCTTCTAAGACCTTTAGAGGTTTGGTTTTTAAAATCTCCTGAGATTTCTCATAAGAATGAAAAATAATTTTTCAAAAGTTCACCTAAGCTTTACAGTTTTACTGAGTAAATACTGAAGGACCCAGTATTTAGATGGAGAGTTGTAACTGTGGCCTCGGTTTGACTTACTTGCCACAACGTTCACAGTCACAGTGGAGTTATAGCGCCCTCTGCTGTTCTGAGCTTCACAGCTATAATTTCCTCTCTGCTTGAACATGATGTTAGTGATGGTGAAGTTTCGTCCTGAAGCTTTTGGTTCCTCCTCTCCCTCCTTTTACCAGGTATAGTTAGCTTCTGGGTTAGCATCACTGCTGCAGGTCAGAGTCACCAGGCTGCCCTCCATGATGTCATCAGAGGGAGTCACTGACACAGAGGGAGACCTGGGAGCATCTGGAGGACAGGACAGAAAGGTCAGAGGTAACCCGAGAGAAAGATGTGAAGATATAAATCTTTTAAGATATTAATCTTTTAAGGGGAAAGAAAATCAAATCTATCAGAGTTAATTTCCTGGTGTCTCAGTAAAACACTAGTATGTTTGTAATGAAACCAGTTTGACTCACATGTGACCTGGACAGAGACGGGTCCAGACGTTTTCTCTCCCAGCTCGTTCTGAGCTGTGCAGTAATACTGTCCAGAGTCTGAGGACAGGATGGAGCTGAGGACAAACTGTTGGTCTTTACTGACAACTGATTGGTTGTTGTTCTTCCTCCAGGTGTAGTTAGCTGCTGGGTTAGCACCACTGCTACAGCTCAGAGTCACTGATTGCCCCTCAGTTATCTGACCAGAGGAGATCAGTTTAGCAGAGAGAAACTCTGGAGCATCTGGGGGAAAAAATGCAAAACTCATCATCTGGATATTTTACTGATTGCCAGAGGAGAGGAGAGAAGGAAAATAGTGTAAATGTGTAAAATGTGTAAAAAAGAAGTCATTGAAAAACATTCATCAGTAAAATGGCACAGAGTAACTGTGATGTAGGTTCTATCTTTTCCTCTTTCTCTTTTAGCCTTTTTTCACTGCTTACATGCACACTCTGCAGCTTACGTAACAATGTTTATGTGTGCCTGCAGACAGTCAATACATAAACAGACTGAAACTGATTAGACTACCGTTTAGGGAAGGTACAGATTGCAGAGAAGAATAAAAAGCTAAACTCACGCTACAATCTTTGCCTGACTTGGTTTCATCCGAAAGGTGAGCTAAGGGTGGCCCAGTGCTGGACGGTGAATGTAACTCCGTATCTGTTCCATTTAGGGTTGCCACCTGTCTCGTAAAATACAAAACTGTGCCGTAATGGGCTGTTAAACGATTTGTTCTGTATTCTACAAATGTTTATGTGTAATAATAAAGAAGTGGTCTCTGAGTATTTCATATAGCAGGCTGCCCCAGTCATTGTTTGCCTCATGGTATTGGTGTTGCGATATTGTGCCCAACTGCTTTCTGGGTAACACACACGACGCAGCCCAACCGCCCCCCCCCCCTTTACATATAGGGACTGGTTCCTTATTTTAATTCCTGAAAGGTGGCAACCCTAGTTCCATTTGTATGGCTTGTAACATTTGATCATTTTTCAGCAGTAAGTCTGTTTTTATATTTAACCAACTCTCATTATTTCTCAAGGTAATTTACGTTCTGGTCGGGTCCTGAAACTGGTTAACGGACCTGGTGGAGCACAAAGACAAAAATGAGTGAACTCTAACAACTGTTTAGTGATCAGACATACCAAAATATTTGCAAAGGTGAAGAATCTTTTTTTTTATATAAATACTAAAGAATGTCTGTATATTTCCCAGTAGAAATTTGCTTGTTCTTTATTTAGCTAAATAACTGAAGGTGAGTCAGAAATTGTAGTTAGGACGAGTGTTGCTTCAAAATAATGTTACTCAAAAAAAGTAAAGGGCAGTAAAATAACTTTTGATGTACTTTTTAAAAAAAGGTATGCCTTTAAATGCATCTAGTTATCACCCATCTCTACTTTATAGTTTGTGTAAATTTAATTCTGGAGAATTAAGAGTTTATTCTAAAGTCCATGTGGAAATATTGGTAGAATAAAATGTTAATATCATGAGGAGTAAACTTACACACAGAGGCAGAGCGGTGATTGTCGTGTCCTTTAACAGAACAGGAATATCTGTCTCCGTCTCTGACTGAGACGAGTATAGAAGAAGTCTGTTCCTCCATTTTCTTCTTTTTGTTGAACCAAACATATGAAGGAGGTTTGGTTAGATCACAGCTGCTTTCACACTTCAGCTCCGTCTGCGTCTCTGATCTTCTGACCTGAACTCTGAGGTCTGGATGGTTAAAGGAACAAGAACATCTCATTTTCAAATAAATCTGGAAAGATGCAAACAGAAACACAAAGATTCACAACAAATACAGAAATATGTTACCTAGAACAGTCAAGGTGACTCCAGGTGAACCAGTAAATTCTCTACCTGGTTGGTTTGTTATGAACTTGAACTTGTACTCAGCTGAGTCTCTCTGTTTCAGATCTTTGATTGTCAGAATGCTGCTGCTCTTTGTAGATTCATAAGTTATTCGACTTTTATAATCAGAGTCCTTCTTCAGATCCACAGGGACTTGATTATTTTCTTTAGTGAACCAGAACATTGTTTTAACTTCTGCATTTTTTCCATCTATTCTAGATGGATATGTATAGGAACTTTTTATCATCACTGTTGATCCTCTTAAGGCACAGATCTGAGATCGATCATATTTAACTGACCAGGCAGGTTCAGCTTGTCCCACTGTAACACAGATAACATCAAAAATATGAATCAATAATATACAACTACACCTCCCACAATGCCTCACTGGGATATTTTAAATTAATATTACTTCCATTAATTTTATCCATATCAAAATATCAAATATTCTACATTATCAACTCCAGTTGATCAACGTGTTTCAGTACCTGTCACAGAGAGGAACAGGACAACAAACCCAGTTGCTGCAGAAAAACTCATCACTTCTTCTCTTTTTAACTGTTTGGTTTCAGCTAAAAGAAAATCAAACAGAAGGTTTTACGTTTTCAGATTTTGCTATAATCGTTAATCATGAAAGTCTTTCAACATTAAACGTCACTCATTAGCTCAAATTTGATATAAAATAAATTAATTTTCAGGCTGCTCACCTCAGGAGAAACTGTTGTCTTGCAATGCAACAATGCAGATCATCTGCTCTGAGGGTGGAAGTGATGCAGAGGAGTTTGTTAGTTTTCCTTCCTCTTTCTATTTATTGCAACCTGGAGAGTTTGCAAACTTAAACTTCCTCTCTGCTTGGCTTCCAGTGCTAAGTATTTATTATCATCATTGTTATTTTGAAATTCAAATTCTTTCACAAATTGAGTTTTAGTAATCAACATCATTATCAAAACCGGTTATAAAAGTGTGTGAGGTTGCATTACAGTAACGTTTGGTACTTGTGAAGGTTTTAAATCCACTAATTTCTGGTTTTTATTGCCGTGGACTGAAACTAAAATATGTAGAAGCAAAAAACTGAATTTTCTGCTTTGCTAGATTGGCATGTGGTTATTAGAAGCTTCTCATGTTTTTGTAAACGAACGTGTTTAAACTTCCTACTTCTTAGACATTTCTGGTATTTCAAGCAGCATGTAGTGAAATGAAAAGAAAAACAAGCAGGAAACAGGAAATGCCACCTTAAAGAGCTGGTCTCTTGTGGTCAACTTATGATTTTAAGAGTCATTTAACTAAACCACTTTAGAACATCAGCTTGTGCTTTTTAAATAATTACTCAGTCAGGAATCAGAAACTTGTAATTATAAACTGAAGGAGGCTTACTAAATAAAAACTCTCAGATATAAGTGTTTTATTCTGAAAAGACAAATGAAGGAAGATTTATTAAAAGCAAAAAGCAGATAAAAAACAGCAACACTTCCAACAAACTTCAATTCCAGCAACACCAACAAAACCATATTTTTATCAATGTTAAAGCTTTTATATTCACAGATAAACATGACCAACACATAATGAGGGATTACATATGAATATATTAAAATAACATAGAAGAGTTCAGTCTCTGCAGGAAGGAGGAGGTGTTGATGCTCCCTCTGTTATAACCTTATATGGACTTCCTCTCTGCTCCTTCTGGTTTCACTCCAACCGTCTCCTTGGTTACGGGTCGTGGTCAACTGGGTTCATGACTCCTCCATGGTTGACCTTGACTGGTGCCAGGTGAATCCTCTCTGTGGCCTCTGCTGGATGTGAACTGAAGCAGCTGCATCCAAGGAGTCTGAATGACAGAGGGCTGACCTCTGACCTTTCAGCTTCTTTAAGCAGCACAAGCTGGTATTGGCTTGATTCTTAACATTTCATAACAGCTTACAATTGTTCTCACTATTTGAAGTCTTTATAACTCAGAGACTCAATATGTACAAACTGTATCTGTGTTGATTTTGTTTTTTTTATTGTTTTTGTGTTGCATTTTTTTCTACATTTTATTTTAGTGAAATAAAGCACTGTACATTCATATTTTTTAAATCTTCTATTTTTTTCCCTAATTATGCATTTACAGTAATTGATTAACAACAATGGACCAAAAACAGAAACATGTCATCATGTAATCCTGGGCTGATTGGTGAAGTTCAGATCAATGAATACTCACTATGTGATCTCTCTAGTCCTTCTCTCCTCCATTTCTATTGGTTCAATTACTTTTCTGTTCATTTTCATAGTTTTCAGTGTTCTGGATAAAAGACAATGCAAATATGTGTCAAAATGCAGAATATAAGGAAAACATGATGGAATTTCTCATTGATTTACCTTAAAGAAATAATCAGGACAAGCAGAAAGATCACGATGAACAGAGTCAGCCTGATGATGATCGTTGTTGACATTGATTGACCTAATTTATCAGAACAAAGAAGACATTTCTATTTCTGGTGAGACATTTTTTTTTTATGTTATAGTTGCCATGAATATGTTCCTTCATTTCCTTACTTGCCACAACGTTCACAGTCACAGTGGAGTTATAGCGCCCTCTGCTGTTCTGAGCTTCACAGCTATAATTTCCTCTCTGCTTGAACATGATGTTAGTGATGGTGAAGTTTCGTCCTGAAGCTTTTGGTGCCTCCTCTCCCTCCTTGTACCAGGTATAGTTAGCTTCTGGGTTAGCATCACTGCTGCAGGTCAGAGTCACCAGGCTGCCCTCCATGATGTCATCAGAGGGAGTCACTGACACAGAGGGAGGCCTGGGAGCATCTGGAGGACAGGACAGAAAGGTCAAAGGTAAACCGAGAGAAAGATGTGAAGATATAAATCTTTTAAGATATTAATCTTTTAAGGGGAAAGAAAATCACATCTATCAGAGTTAATTTCCTGGNGTCGTGTCCTTTAACAGAACAGGAATATCTGTCTCCATCTCTGACTGAGACGAGTATAGAAGAAGTCTGTTCCTCCATTTTCTTCCCTTTGTTGAACCAAACATATGAAGGAGGTTTGGTTAGATCACAGCTGCTTTCACACTTCAGCTCCGTCTGCGTCTCTGATCTTCTGACCTGAACTCTGAGGTCTGGATGGTTAAAGGAACAAGAACATCTCATTTTCAAATAAATCTGGAAAGATGCAAACAGAAACACAAAGATTCACAACAAATACAGAAATATGTTACCTAGAACAGTCAAGGTGACTCCAGGTGAACCAGTAAATTCTCTACCTGGTTGGTTTGTTATGAACTTGAACTTGTACTCAGCTGAGTCTCTCTGTTTCAGATCTTTGATTGTCAGAATGCTGCTGCTCTTTGTAGATTCATAAGTTATTCGACTTTTATAGTCAGAGTCCTTCTTCAGATCCACAGGGACTTGATTATTTCCTTTAGTGAACCAGAACCTTGTTTTAACTTCTGTATTTTTTCCATCTATTCTAGATGGATATGTATAGGAGCATTTTATCATCACTGTTGATCCTCTTAAGGCACAGATCTGAGATCGATCATATTTAACTGACCAGGCAGGTTCATCTTGTCCCACTGTAACACAGATAACATCAAAAATATGAATCAATAATATACAACTACACCTCCCACAATGCCTCACTGGGACATTTTAAATGATTATTGCTTCTATTAATTTTATTCATTTCAAATATTCCAGATTATCAACTCCAGTTGATCAACGTGTTTCAGTACCTGTCACAGAGAGGAACAGGACAACAAACCCAGTTGCTGCAGAAAAACTCATCGCTGCTTCTCTTGTTAACTGGTTTCAGCTAAAAGAAAATCAAACAGAAGGTTTTACGTTTTCAGACTTTGCTATAATTGTTAATCATGAAATTTTTTCAACATTAAAGTCACTCATTAGCTGTAATTTGTTATAAAACAAATTAATTTTCAGGCTGCTCACCTCAGGAGAAACTGTTGTCTTGCAATGCAACGATGCAGATCATCGGCTCTGAGGGTGGAAGTGACGCAGAGGAGTTTGTTAGTTTTCCTTCCTCTTCTTGCAACCTGGAAAATTTGCAAACTTAAATTCATCTCTGCCTCATTTCCAATGCTGTGTATTTGTTATAATTATTATTTTGATAATTTTTTGTTACAAACGGTGCTTCAGTAATCTGCATTATTATCAAAAATGGTTATAAAAGTATTCTCTGTATGAGGTCACATTACAGTAACACTTGGTACTTATGAAGGTTTTAAATTTTTCCTGCTGTGGAGTGAAACTAATGGGGTAAAAACATGTAGAAGCAAAAAAACTGAATTTTCTGCTTTGCTGCGTCTGCATGCAGTTATTAGAAACTTTTCATCTTCTTGTAAATGAATTTCTGGTATTTCAAGCAGTAGATGCAGAGAAATGAGAAGAAAAACAAGCAGTCAACAGGAAATCCCACCCTAAAGAACTGATCTCTTGCGGTCAACTTGTGGTTTTTAGAGTCATTTACTGCTGTTCAAAAGTTTTTGTTTAACTAAACTTTCACTCAGTAAATGTGTGAGAGAAATCTGGATCATTTAAGAGAAAACAGTTTATCTCAGTTTTCCCAGACGGTTTCCCTTTAAGTCAGCCCTACTTTGTACCACTATGGGGTCCAGTAGGGGCTTTAACTAAGGAATCAGAAACCTGTTTTATACATTTAAGACATTTACCAAACAAAAACTCCCAGATATAAGAGTTTGATTATGAAAAGAAAAATGAGGGAAGATTTATTAAAAGCAAAAAGCAGATAAAAAACAGAAACACTTCCAACAAACTTCAATTCCAGCAACACCAACAAAACCATATTTTTAGCAGTGTTCTAAGCTTTTATATGAGCAGATAAACATGACCAATATGTAAGAAGGGACTATGCTTTTCTTAAAGCTTTGTAGTCTGGTGAAAAACGGCATTGTGTATTAATTGTTTTTATCTCCTGCTATGTTTTATGTTATTGAAAGATAAAAATGTATCAAAACAGAATGGATGGGTTTGTACACATCAACGCATATTCACTATACTCCAACAGTCCATATTTAACTTTATCACAAAAGGATCCAGGGCTAGTTAAACACGTTGGCCTAAATATATTCATTATTTGCCAGAGTGATGAGGGGGGAAACCAAATATTTTAGCTGCCTGAAATAATATGTTCCCCCTCCATAACATAGGAACAAATTA